AGTAAAACATTTTCTTTCTCAAGTATTAATCTAATGTTGAGATAGACATCTCACTCCTTAATGATCTCTTGACGGTATAAAAATGCAGCTCTTTTAATTAGAAGTATGAGAGAGACTGATTCAAATTTTTGGGATTTTTTCGATTTAAGCTCGAAAAGATGGTTAAGAAATGATTTTTGAAGGTTCAAACTACGGAAGTCTGATTCAGTAAAACTGTATTACGTAATCAACGCACCTTCAACAGTGAATGCGGTCTCGTCGCGGGTGCCACGGGTCGAAACCTCGCTGTCGTGTGCGTTCTTGAGCTCCTGAAGTAGATATTCTAAGTGAAATTGATAGATGGGAACAAAGGCAGCTGTGCAGGTGACGATCTCGTTGTGCTGCCGCCCCCGGGTATTCATTTACAGCAGGGTAACTACTTTACTGCATGCAAAATCTACTTCTCCTAAGCACATTTTCCAAGCCATAAAGTGTCTCAGAGGTTGAGAAACCTGAGTTCTGAGAAATCTTCTATTCATACCTCAAGTAACATCTTTTCCTGATTACGTCGTCTCATCTGATCGGGATCGATTTCACGTTTGCTTTGAACTTTTCTCAATTTGTGCGTTAACCAGTCATCAGGGTCTCGTGCTTCAGAAACAGCATCATAATTCTCGGCGAATAGTCGGCGATCACTGAATTAACAGATTTTTACATTTACTTCTTTTGTGTTGCGACTACAATAGCCTACTCAAACAACGGCAAACGCAAACAAGGTGGGGAAAGTTTTCTAAGATTTTTCTAAATGTTTAGTCTTTTCGATCTAGGGTGAATTCCTGACAGCACACCTAAACAGCCGGGTTCTTCACACAACTAACTAATCACGCAATTTTTATTAAAAGAGGATTCTTGGGCGTATATATGATACTTTTGTATGTATTCATTGAAATATATTGATATTCCAAAAATGCTCAAAAGATGCGACTAAAAGTGGAAACAAAATAGAGTTATAAAGTTCTGAAGCCTTTAGATTTCTCAAAAAGCCTTTTGAAGCATAAATTCAGTAGAAAGAGGTCAAATCCAAAAAGATCAATAAAATATGCAAACATACATATGTGTCTGAAAAATACCGTATTCTATGTAAAGAAAAAAACTATTTAACCGCGGAAATATTCTTTGCCACAGTCTATCGATGGTCGCACTCGGAAATGTAAACTCTACTAAACGACAGAATAAATGCTTACATTTAACTAAAATCAGAAATCTCAACAAAGAAAATTCTTCATAGCATTGGAGTGAAGCTGACTGAATGGAATTGACGAATACCCGCTCATCATTAGCCAATCAAAGCATCCATAATTCTTTTTGGAGGAAAATGGCTTTAAGGAATGGGATTGATAAAAAGGTCTGATTTATGGTAAGAAACCTATTTTTTATAAGACCTGCGATGCAGTTTTTTTGGCAATGTGGTATCATAAACTTAGAGTAAGAAGAAAAAACAAATCTGAAACTTTTTCTAGCCAATGAAAATTTGTAAGGGATGGTGTTCAATATGTTGTAGGAGTTTGGTGCAATGGAATTTATTGAAGTGCGGTGAAACATCAAAAACCTCCAGGAGAGCATTTCAATTATTCATTGCATGAATCTATCTTGTCCTGATCTTTTTGGCCATATCAGAGCAATCTTTTAGAATAATGAGTTTTCAGTGCCAATCTCAGTAAATCGCCGTTTTTTCTTGAGCGAAGTCTCCCGGAAAAAGCCGCAGCTTTCGAACTCTTCAAAAAATATAGTGATTTCTAGGAATTGAGTCTGA